AGATATCCAATTGTATCGGGCCCTGATGGTAGACAATATGAAAATATTTTTTTATACAATTCAGGTTTTTGGTTAATAATTGAAAGAGGCCCCCGGCCGAGGGCTAATAACCCATCTGTGCGTCCATAACCTCCGGTGTTATTATTTCCACAGCCGAAGACGAAGTCATAAATAACATCATTAGATAAGGTCATGATGTCTTTAATGAGCGAGCCGTTAGTTTTAGATTTATCATTATATCCTACCTCGTAGAGGCAATTGTTGGTAGAGGAGCAACCAAATTGAGTGAGTTGGGTACAATAATTAGAGTTGCATGGGATGTTCTTGAAGGTGGTGGACTGGGTTGGGTCATTAATTGGGTTTTTTTGTTCATGACAGTGAACACAGGGGACACATTGGGTCCAAGTCAAATCGCTACCGGTGTCGATCATAAATGTGAAGAACTTGATAGGAGTTCCAAGGCCTACGTTGACAATATAACCATAGGGATTAATATCATAATCAATGGTTGCCGGAACTTTTGCAAAAAGAGAGTTTCCAATAGGGTTTAGGTGGGCGGTGGAATTGGATGCCTGCCGATGGATGTAGTCTACGCGGGCTTGGTTCTGACGGAAGAGCTCCACAAGTGACGCCTTGTCTTGGTGCATCCAGGATGAGCATAGGCTATGCAAGTGGACCATGTTGAGCTTGGAAGGGCTCATGCCTGTCACAATTGGAACAACTAATTAATGTATGTATTGGGTTTTTTTTTTTTTCTTTTGCATCTCATTTAAGCTTGCCATATCTATCAAATGATCTTAAACATGAAATATCTATCAAATGAGCTTAATTGTTGCATTATTTCTTATTATTCTAATTATTTTATGAAAAAATAAGACCCCAATAGAGTATTAAGAAATTATTGAAATTGCACACAAACTTTTATTAGGCACCGAGCAGGAGTTGCTTGGCAACAGTGACTTGACGTCTATGACATGGTGTTCTCCAGCAAGCTTTTGCGCTGATACTAGAAAATTCTTTTCTATTAGAAGAAAAAAGATGAACAAATTGAGAAGAATATAATATAAGAGTAGAGAAGAAGAGGTTGCCATGAGAATAGAACTTGGAAGCACTGCTTAGCATAG